TGTAAATGTATGCTATGTGTGATTTGATGCATGTTTGTGTGTGATATCATGTGTTGTGATGAAAATGTTATCCAAAAAGTATGTAAAAACTGAGATCTAAGACCTAGGGAAGGAAATAAACATAACATAAACTATCTTACCCTAATCAAGTCAAGAAAAATAACTCATATGGTTAGGATGAACATGCTTGGACATAAAACCCATTTTTAGGCTTAAATTGTTAAAAATGCAAAAACTAAGGGCCTAAACTGACATGTTATAGTTTTTGGAGGGTCAAAAGAGTCCAAACAGTTTCTATAATAATTTTTCTGAAACAAAACATTTTTGAAGGACTAAATTTGTAAATTTTACACTTAATGGGCTAAACTTGGGCTTTTCGGCAGAATAAGCCTCAATATTCGAGATTTTTAAGTTTGAGGGGCTGAAAAGGAAGTTTTTGTAAAACAGGGGATTTAAAGTGTATTAAAACCCTTTCAAAGGTTAAAAATGTTTTTCAAATTCAAAAAGGATCAAAAATGTAAAAATTTCCTATTTTGGGCCAAAATCATAAAAGTTGCGAAAGTGGGGGTTCTAACCGAGAAAACCACATTTTTGAAGGACTTAAGCTGTTTATAAAGTAATTCTGGGCTGAAAATGTCTTTTCAATAAGTTTTGATACTAATGTGTCAAGAAAAATTGGTTTAAGGTCTAAAATGGAAATTCTTTTATATGAAGGACTAAAAGTGTTAACTTTATAAAAGAAGGGTTGTGAAAAGGTAAAACTCTTACTTTAAAACAAACAAATCCCTTAAGACAAAATGCGAGATCCACGACTACCGGTGAATCGTAATAACAAATACACTTTCAACACCAATATCGTTATGAGACGCATTGATTCGGTCTCGAATCAATAACAAAACCAAAAATCAGTAAATCGTATATATCAATAAAAAACCGATAACTACGAGGAGTCATTATTCAATATTTGGGCTTGAAAGTCTCAAATCGTGCTTGTTGGGCCTTGCTAGCCCAATGATATGATCTTTGGGCCCGAAGGGAACGCGCTTACATGTTAATGGGCCTTCTATGACCCAATTACATGTAAAAGGACTTTCGATAGCACTATTGTGCTGTTGGGCCCCAAGGGTCCATTAGTACTGCTAGCGAAGTCGAGAAGTCAAATGCGAGTCAGTCCAAGTGCCTTTCGCATTCCCGATAGCCTTGAATGACTTATGGAAATAAAGGAGACTTCTTACCTTCCTTTCTCCTTGGTTGTGGGGCTATGAGAAACCGAGTAAACAGATCCGTGTCGTTAAACAAGAGAAGTTAGGGTGGTTAGATTATGTGAGTAGTATGGATGACGCCTCAAGGATCGTTCATAATTTGTAGTTATAAACTAGTCATTTTTAATAATGCGTGATTGTAACAACTCACAACCCTTAGTTAATCCAATGTCACCTGGATAATCAAAAAAAAAAAAAAAATCATCGTATCGGTATAACAATAAACAAGACATGTAATTTTATGTGTTGGGAAAACATCGGGTTTTCCCGGGGCGTTCAACATTTTAACTTATATGAAGTATACAAAGTTCAACAATTATTCATGTTTTCAAAATCGACAAGCATATTTACGGATCTTCACACCTTTTTATAAACAATAATCTTTTCAGAAAATGTCGGATTTTCTGGGTTTTCAAACTTCAGAAAAATCATTTTCCATAACATTACTTATGAACTCACCAACATTTCATATATTGACCGTTTTCAAAATAACTTGTATTCTCAGGTAACAGGTAAACAGAAGAAAACGTATCAAGTTATATCATGGTGTTTTGCTTAGATTAATGATCGAACGGTTTAGGTTATGGAATTGTATTGTTTAAAAAAATGTACTGAATGTAAAAAATATCAGTTGTAATATTTCAATGCATGGTAATGAATGATGTTATGATTAATGTATAATCATTGTGATGGTATTCAATTAAGTCACAACAGCCCCCGGACGTTTCCACCGTCTGGTTCGGGGGTGTGACAGGTTGGTATCAGAGCTCTATTTATAGTGAACTAGCATATCTAACGACATATTGATATGCAACTATAAACCTAAAGAGGGACTAACACAACTCTGAACAAAACAAGTAAAACTTAACAATAAAACACCCTTGCTTGCAATAGGAACAAGAACATAATACCGAACCAAACAAGATAATGCTAGTATCTCGATTAAGCCAGAACTGTGCTAGTCATATCAAGGAGTGGATGTAGCCTGATCAACGACATTCTCTCCAAGGTATAACTATCACATGTCCTGAGGAGATCGTGATATCTAGGGAGCCTAAAAACATACCCCTTTATCACCAAGAAGAGAACATCCATTTAGTCTATACAATAGTTGTAGAGTCATAGGATAATGATAGTATATTCGTATACCTTCTCCCAGCCTTCATGGAAGGAGAGTAGCAGGGCATTCAGTTTCATCAAGTCCTAGTAGCCCATGGGAGGGTCAAGGATGAGCCAGAGGTAGATCAAGGAAAGGCACAAGGCATTAGAACTAAAGAGGAACAGGACGAATACGTGATGGTTGATCTCGATTATGATGAGTTGGACCAGGAGCCAGATGAAGAAAAGGGCGTAGATGTCACACCCCGAAAACCGAAGGCGGAAACATTTTCGGGGTTGACTCCACGTTGAGTATCAAATCCAATGCACATAGTAAGTAAAGTAAAACAACCATTACATTACATAAGAAAAGTTTTACAGTTGTTTCAAAAGTAAAGTTTGTACAGTTGTGTTACATAGCAATATATATGAACAAAATGAAACGGGTCTCTTGAGTACACCGTCTTCAAGCAAAAAGGATCTTCGGGTACCCGTTCTAACGCTGACCTGAGAACAGAAGTGGTTTGAAAATTAGCATAACGCTAGTGAGTTCATAAGCGGTTTTTTTGTTTGTGAAATTATTCAAGTTTCCTTTCAATTTCTGAAATGTTACACACACCAAGAAAATCCCATATTTTCTTAAAAAGGTTGGTTATTGTTTGTCAACATGTAAAGTAAAGTTGTACACTGAAAAGCTTGTTTTCTCTTGCAAAGATGTATAGTTAAGTTATCTGAATTGATATACTATTCTGGTTATGTACCAATGTATTCCCAGGAAAGTCCCATACTTTCCTGATGTGTATGTTATCAATTGTGATAGATGTACCGTTATCCGGTTTGTTATCCTTTCTGGTTATGTAAACGTTTACCCAGGAAAGTCCCATACTTTCCTGAATGTTGGTTATCGTATGTAAATGATGTATTCTTGTTAGACCTAGTTATGTACAAGGTTTCCCAGGAAAGTCCCATACTTTGCTGAATGTCAGTTACTATATGTAAAAGATGTTTTCCGAATATGTGGTATTGTTCAATGTTTTCCCCAGGAAAGTCCCGTACTTTCCTGATTGTTGGTTTCCAATGTGAAAGATGTATACTAGAGAACTGGTTATCTTGTGAATTGTATAAAGTTGTTTATTATTACCATAAGTAAATCTCTGTTATCCTAATTGCGAGTTCCATAACCATACTATGGACTAAACTTGTGGCAATAAGTAGTCCACATACTTATGACTTTCGTCACCCTTGAACTAATTCGGTTCGGATGTAGCTAGCAGCCAGGTGTGGGGTAGTCAGCCCCGTATAGATCTATACACTCAAGTCACGCTCTCTAAATCCCAGAGATTCTGGTTACGGGTGTAATCCTCCACTCGCATATCTCTGTGGAGTGTTCACCGAGGACGTGTCTCCAATCATACAGGATTAACAAATTTACTAGTAATAATATGATAGTCCTCCACTCGCGTATTTATGTGGAATGTTACCGAAGACAAAACAGTGTACAGGTATTATGTTCAAATGTTCTAATGTCATGCTTTTAACTGATAAAATGTGGAAAACCATTTGTGAAATATATGTAAAACATAACAGTTTAAAATCCATTTCACAAATATATGTTTACGTCACTACTAGAAAAACAGCCTTTTACGAGGCTCATTGCGCGTCGTAAAACGCTCAGACGACGCGCAAATGCACGTCAAGGAAGGCCCTGTCATAAAGAGAGACGACACGCATTTATGATGCGTGGTTATGACACACAATGCGTATCAAGGAAGGCCCTGTCATAAAGAAAGATGACACACATTTGCGTGTCGTAACATTACGACGCGCATGTTTATGATACGCAATGCGTATCAAGGAAGCCCCCGTCAAGAAAGGTCATGTCATAAATCAAGACGACACACACTTTTGCGTATCGTAATTTTAATTTAAAAAAAAAATTATTTATAGATTTAATGATTTTCAAATTAAAATTCCATTTCATGTCTCATCATAGAAAATAAAATACCATATACAAAAAATACAATACATTGCACAAAAGTTAATATCATACAAATAATCATTCCAATAGTAGATAAATGTAATACATCAAATAATCATTCCAATAGTAGACAAATGTAACATTTCAACATTTTTTATATAATTAACCAAATTACTAGCCAAATTTCCTAAAATACCAACATACTTTTCTATGAAGAGCATTAACACTATTCTTTGCCGTCTAAAAACTTCACAACCTGCATAATTAAATGAATGTGCAATCAGCTACAGAAATATGTGTGAGCATATGGCAATAGAAAGAGAAGATGATAATCAGAAACAGAAATTTTTGGCATTGCAAACCATCAGAATAATTGGAAGTATATGTATACTTCATGTTGGAGGCGTTGACTTTCGGTCATTTTATAGCAATTTGTGTATTTAATATAGAAAGACTCCAACAATAAATAGAGATGTTATGTTACCTTGACGCATCTCTGCTGTCCAAAAGTATCCTCAAGTAGGAGCTTTCTTCATATTTGGAGGCCTCTCTGTTCCCCAAGTCAATCAATCCACACACAACACAAGTGAAGTGGAGAAAGAATTAAATTAAACCTTAACTCACCTTCTATATGAAGCTTGTATAACCAGGATAACGCCAACTTTGACATACTCCAAACGGAAAGTTGTGGATTTGAACCAGCTCACGATGTAGATGCAAGAAATTTGGAATAAGATGTTTGTATATGTATGGAAAAGTGTTGCATCATAAGGTTTGTTTCTATTATAGACTGGAATAAGACTAAATAATTATGTTACCCCTACATTCCAAAAAAACAAATTTCACTATATTTATCAAATTTAACATGAGTTGTATTAAGCCAGCTTTTCTAGCTATCTATCCCTTTTTAAGTTCTTAAGTCAACAAGAAGCAAGTGTATGTATGTATGTACCCACTCTAAGAGAAGACCCAATTACAACCACGAGTATGTTTTTCTCAGGGTCCCACAATATGATGACAGTTTCTGCAGCAACAACCAATACAGAAGCATCACTAGAAAATGCAGCAACAGCCATATAACTTTCTTCCTGTATGAACCAACATCATGTCATGCCTATCTACATCTACTCCTCTCAATCAACTTATCTTCACCATTGCTAACCCAAACATGTAAAGCCACAAAGAACAATTATACAAACACAGATTCATAATTATAAAATAAATTAAAAAACAAATTAAAAAACATTACCTTAAAGTCAGCACCATAAGAAGCACTAACAGCCATGAAACGACTTGGATGGGAAATAATTGCAAAAACTACTGCATCCCTGTAACCATCACATGTTAAAAAAATGTTATACTGGAAAAAAGTTCTATATACATATTAAATAAAAAGATTTTATAAACAAAAAAAAAACTATGGGGCACATATATAACAATAGACAAGGTAAAATCATTATTGTGTTGCCCACATTCCTAAAACTTGAGTGTTACAAAACCTCCTATTCCTTGTTCAGACATTTTGGTTTCAACAGTACCCATCACAGTGCCATGACACGATCAGCAACAGCTTCTAGACGATCCCATAATTTCCTCACGAAAAATTCTCTATTATTTGTTAGTATCTGTTGGATACCTCATTGCAAAAAATTCTCTCCACTAAAATCATAAATTGGGACTCTGCATTGTAAAAAAGTAAAAACTAATTAGAAGGACACACATGTTCTTCTAATAAGTTTTCATTTGTTGAGATGTACAGTTCATCCCTAACATAGAAGTAGCACTTGAACAATATCCAACTTAGACCAAAATGAAATGAAAGCTAAAACAGGCCTGTCCTGATCATTTTGGCTTGTTGAGATGAAATTGCACAAGGGTTTTTCCTGGAACTTTCACACATTGAACAAAGAAAATATAGTTTGAGATTAAATTTTATCTTGGTTTAAGATGTACATTTCATTGATAACACGAAATCTTGATTAATGACATGTAATATGAGAACATCATAAAAGTTGTGTATGTACAAAAATAACAGAGTGAGGGCTTTTTTTTAATATTTGGAAGAAAGTTTTTGACTAATAACTTTTAACTAATTAGGTGAAATTTTGTGATCTCTTTTGATGGTCTTCCATGTGGCAAATTGTTTAAATCGGAAGGAAAAATTTCAGACATACAAGTGATATTGGTGAACAGTGGAGCAATGCATGATTTCATGTTCTTCCAATTGATCTTGCTTGATTGGATAGTACTAGGCCATTTAAGTGCTGACCTTACCTTAGATGGCTTAGAGATGTTCCCCATAACAAGGGGAAGGAGTATTTGCTAAACTTTAAAGGATTGGGATTGAATAGTATGGTTGTAAGACTGGGATGGGTATCCTTGCAACCAACTCATTTGCTGGCAGAGAGAAATAGGGAACCTGTTTTAGTTAAAATTTAAACGAAATGGTAATTGGACTGGGTTTAAAGATAATGGAAAAGGAAATTGGAAAAGTTTAGGTTTATTGTCCATGGTAATTGGAACCTTTTCTATATGACCATCTAAATGCTTCAAATGGAGCTACCAACATAACAAAAGTTTATCTTTTTATGGTAGAAAGCACAAGAATCATGATAAGTAATAATTATAATATGTTGAAATAAATACCTTATAATCTTGCATAAACTCATAGTGATGAACTGTATCTAGGTTAGTTCTAGCAGCTCGTAGAAACTTATCTATACCATCTCGTGTTCCATTATCCATTACAACCCATATTAATTAAAAACAAAAAAACGGTATGTTATTACTTATTTTGCACCTATGAAGGTCATGATTTAATAAGATTACCTATAATGCAAGCAAGATCTTTTGTGTTCGCATATTTACTTCAAAAGAAAGCAAATGTGTCTCCAAGGAATCAGATTAATGTTTCTAAAGCAACTTTAGATACTTTCCAGCTTCCATTAATGGATCTTCAGTCTAACATTTACATTTGGAAAAGATTACAAGAGTAAGTCCATCAAGCAATCTATTATGGAGGGGGGGGGGGGGGGGGGTACCTGCAATAGCTTCTCTCCATATGGATCTGGATCAACTGGCTTGACAATTCGTTTCCCATACTTACAAACACCACCCACTACTTCCTCACTTTTCACTTCTGCCTCCTTAAGAAAACATAAAAGAAAATAATTATTAAACAAAAAAAAAAACAATTTTTGTATCCATAAAATGTAAAGAATTTATACTTTCTTAGCTCGTGCTTCAGCCTTCCTCTGTTTTTTTTCCTCAATTTCTTTTTCTGAGAAGCAGGTAGTTTTTCCAACTCATCGTCTTCTTCGGTAGATGACTTTGAAGGAGAATCATACAACTTAATATAACATCTGCATCAAACAATACAAAAAGAAAATCAAATTTCAAAAGGTAATGACAGATTTTACAAATGTAACTGAATCATCAGCATTACCTTATAGCTCCGACTACCGCCTTCCTAAAGTAATTATGTGCATGAAGTCGATCTTGAAACCTTAAGATTTCAATATATGCCTGCAGATTAATTTTTCTTAAACAATAAGAATGAACATCAAATTGACTACAACATTCAGAAGAGTTTGATTGTTTGTTTGTTATCTTTTATATATATATATATATATATATATATATATATATATATATATATATATATTAGTTTTAAATACTCAATACAAAAGGTCTTAAACAATCATAAATCTTATTAATACTTTAATTTTTTTTAATAAATATTTTTCCCGTGGTTCCCACGGGTTGTAACCTAGTTTTTAATAAGTATTTGGTACCTGTATTTGTGAATAACAGTGACTGCATGTCGGTTTCTCCAGCTCCCTAGCACCATTATGTATGGTGTACAAGTAATCTTTAAATTTCACAAATCGGAAAAGGATTTAAATTTCACTATTCATAATGAGTCCATTATGTGTTCTTTTCGGTGCATCAGAAAAGAATTTAATAAAAACAAATAAAAGCAGAGGAAATGATTGATGAATTATTACATGTACATGATAGTAAAAAAACCTTAAATCAAAACCGGATACTTGCATAATAAACCCACATACCTGAAATTGACATACCGATAAACCATGCAAACCAAAAGGGTAAGGCAGAGACAGTAGCAGTCCCGACATCCACCTACTTGAACATGAAGAATAAACCAAGTTGCTTCAAATCCCGAAGCCTGCAAATTGTTGAATAGTTAGATGAGTCTATTCATGTAAAGGAAAGTAAAAGTATCTACAGAATGTACAAACTTGCCTTTGGAACTGCTCGGTGTCAATAAATTTCAGTGACAGCTACAATTCAAAGGAACAATTTATAAACTTTGATTGAAATTCCATCTCAAAATCGTGTTTAGAATGTAGCAAGAAGAATGCACTAAGCATGAATTAGTTTCATGCTCTTAAATATAAGCCAATGACAGTCACCAACATGTCTATTAGTGTCAATCAAGATTCATGAACAGCTATAGTACAGACATTATAGCAACTTACTATGAAAATCAACTACCAACATCAAATTAATGGTTTCTTAACTTTTCAGTGGTCCACAAATTTATATTTCCTTCTGTCTTTTCATTTTCTTCATTTAAGAGAAGCAATTTATCAAATCATTGGATTTGGTTTATAATTCTTCAACATACAATGAATCTTTAAGGTTAGATAGGCACAGAAAATAATATAAATACTGTATTTGAGTGAATATAACTAAAAAATCACATACGAAAAGTGAAGTGGCTTAATAACAAAGTCAAAACCTTAAAAATAGATTAAAAGAGCTATCATGATTTAAAGAGTTACTTTCACATATTTAACTAAATACATCACAAGAAAATGTATGATTCTGAGGACATCCAAAATAGAGCTACACTAAAGCTACAAATACCAACTAATATAACACATAGACAAGAATATCATCAAAATTATAAAATAAATTGAATAAACACCAAGGTAATCATCTGTAATACCAAACCTAATCAGTATTCAGCAGTTAAAAGCATCAAGATGATCAAGGCCTTTGGTTGAGTGAAAATATAAAAAAAATAAAAATAAAAATAAAAATTATGCTGTAAAGACCCCTTAAAAATCCACTTGATTCTGGGTAGTAACCTTACATTTGGTGAAAATTAAAGTCATATGTCTCATTGAGGCATTTCATCAAATAGGTGAAGTGCAATTTGGTTTTCTACTAAATTCATAAGTATAAATGGAAGCACTTATTCTCTGCACCATATTGATGATCTGGATAAAATTTCCCATAATATTCATCAACAAAGGATCTAGTTGACAAAACAATTTGACCCAATTGAAAAACTTACAAATATTTTAGGGCTATGAACCGCAAACCAGGGGGAGGGGTTGCACAAACTGACCTCTAGGATGATTTCTGAAATACCAAGGGAGATTTCTTTTTATTTGTGCATATATCCCATTTGTGCTGTAGAAGGTTTTTTTAAAAAAAAGTGTAAATTGAAAGCACACTCCAGAAGATGCCTACAAGGTAAACACCTAATCAATTCAGAGATATTTTAGAGTTGGAAACTGAATTAAAATAGGAGAACTTACCTTCCAAATGTTGCTTGAGCATGTGGAACTGCTCTTGTAGGTTACAAGCTTGTGAGTTGAGCAACAAAAGCCATAGAACACAATATGAAAATATTCAGTAACATGGGTTTACCTACTATACATGGGTTCTTCTCCATCATCTAAATAAAGGTTGTTTCCTGAACAAATCCATTAACAGAGTGATCAGAAAAAAAAGAAGCTAATTACGCAAACACCAACGGGTTAATGAAGGAATCAAAGGTATTTCTTATAAAATTTTGTTTTAGGGGGTCAATTATAGAGGTGTTTGACGGTTAGAATAGAAGAACTGATGAAATATGTTCCATATTTCCTTGAAAAATGAATGAGAAAACCAATAAAAGAATGAAATGTTGTGATTTTTTTTCACATAATTACATTTTGTTGAAGAAAAACAAACCAAATTGATGGCGTCAAACCTGGAAACAGAGCATGGTAACCCTAAACAGATCGATTTCAGTGTTCGTCTTCAACTTCAACTGGGAGAAAGAAGTTGAATGGTATAAGGTACAATTGGTTTGAGGAGGCAGGTGGATAGAGAATGATAGCGACAGAGGGAAAAGTAGACGACGATGGAGTAAAATCATGTCTCCATTGGGAAGAAGTAGATGGCAATTGAGTCGAGGTAGGGTTTGTGGAGGCTTCGCAGTCGGCAATAAATCGTTTAATCGGAGAGCAAACGAAAGGAACTGGGGTAATAACCCCCAAACTGGAAGCAACTGAATTTCGGAAGGGGTAGGGGGAAGAGGTGAGCGGAGATCGTCGGTGGGAAGTGAAGCGGTGGATGTTTGAGAATCGAGAGAGAAGAAAGAAAAAAGGGGTTTTCGGAGGGGACGAGCTAGGGTTTTCAGGCGGTGGAAACAAAGAGGGTTTTTAATTTTTGTGATTTCAATTCCCCGCGGGATGGACGTGCGTTTGATTAAAATTTATAAAACGACATGGTTAGACGATACACGTTTTATTTAAGGTGCCCTCCGTGTTTTTTTATTAGACACTAATTTTGGGGCATGCAAAAATGTGTATCCTCAATCCTTTAAATTTTAGGATAGATGACATTATTTTTACATCACACACGTTTGCGTATCGTAAATCCGTGCGTATCGTAAATTGCGCGTCGTAAAAGGCTGTTTTTCTTGTAGTGCGTGATCTGCATGTTCAAACAGTTATCAGTTGTAGTAATCAGTGTTAAAAGCATATAATAATGTGAAACACACATTTGAAAACATGTTTTGAGTATAAGAAATCCCTTGTATTTTGCTTGTGTCCCCCCTGAAAACAGTGAAAACAGTGAAAAAGGGTAGGGGTATGAACTCACCAGACTTGGAATTGCAACGGTTTCGAACACTAGACGTTGGTTCGGGGCTTGATTACTTGCGATGTCCCTATGTAAAATGTAATAATGTCCATATATATCTATATAGTTTTACAATTACTAATCATATGGAACATTACACTCCAACGAGGTTAAACACCTCAAAACGAGCGTTTAGAGTGACCCGGGTGACATCTTCGGACGCGTAATGGCACTAGGGACTTGGGATTTGAGTTTACTCCCAAGAGTAAACATTTAAGGGAGTTTACAGCCACATAACACACACATACATGAGTTTACGGCCGTAAACTCATGTTGGTGTGATTTTAAGTGTTTAATAGCTTGTTTGGACATGGGGATTGTTGAAATGGATTTCTAAAATGCCTTGGAATGGATTAAATGAATTTAGACCATTTAAAAGGGAGTTTACGGCCGTAAAATCTACTATGGTCAAGAATAATTGATTTAAGGTATAAGGGACAATCACATGTGATTCTAGTTAATTTTCCAAGGTTTTGTATCACTTTTGGGCATCATTTAACATCAAATTGGGAGTTTGCGGCCCAAGTATACATACCATGGCCGTAAACTCTCTCATGTTCATGAATAATTAATATTTGACACTTAAAACAATCACATGTGATTCTAGAAATTTTTCCAAGCCTTTGGGGTGAATTAGGGGCATGATTTGGCATGGTTTTATGAGTTTACGGCCAAAGGGTATGTGCCTAGGCCGTAAACTCCTATATGTGGCATTTTGATATGTTACAAACCCCCAAACTATTTTTAGATGGATCTAGGATTTACCACAAGGCTATTGGTTGAGTTACAAGGCATTTTGACATTATTTAAGGTGTTAAATCCCCATTTTTGAGGAGTTTACGGCCCAAGCACATGCCTTGGCCGTAAACTCTTGTTTTTCCCTATGTCTGTTTAATGTGTTCCAAGTCCAGGTTAGTAAGCCTCAAAGTCGTATCTAAGTCCCAACTATGATTTGGAAGGGTTAAATGGCTCAAAAACCCCATTTTTGTGTGCTTACGACCCAGCTTCCTCCTTGGCCGTAAACACATGTTCCAGGTCCTATTTCACATTTTGAACATGGATTTGAAGGCCTAAGAGGTTGAATAACAAGCTAGGAAGGTTACCTCTAAGATTTGGAGCCTTAAATCTTTGATTTTGGACCTTAATTTAGAGTGAGGAGAGAGGTTAGAGACAGAGTAGTGAGATGAAGCCAAAAGCTTTAAATGAAGGCCTAGAACACATTATATAGTGTCTAAGTTTTAGACACGGTGAAATTCTACCCGATACCGGCGTTAGGCGATGCTTTTGGTCATACCCGATTAGGTTGCCGTAACCCGATATGGTCGATTCTAGAAATATTCCGATCACTAATATGGGGTGTTAAAAGGATTTCTAAATGTATTAAGACACCCATTAAGCCATTTTAGATACTAACAAGTTAATGACTTAATTAAACAAGAAAATCGGAATTGAATTTGGAAACGACGATTGGTTGCTTGAATTGAACTACGAAAGAGTTACAAGAAGTGGTACGGAAAATTCGGGTTGTGACAGTAGAGGAGGCGTGTAGTGAACCTCGCCAGTTGGAAGCCCCGTCAAATTTCCGCATGTTTCAAGGGTGGATACAGACTACTTACGCGCCCTCGAGGAGGCAGTTACCAGCCTGAAGCTATAACTCATCATGGCCAAGGCAAGGGCCACGCGAGCCGAGCGAAAAGTAGAGGTAATCACCCAAGAGGCGGATGAACTGGCTGAACTTCTGGTGCGTCACATCGATGATTGAGTGTCGTCGTCATCCTTAATAATAGGAGCTACTCTACTACCCGCTAGATAGGTTCCACTGTACGAGGGACTAGTTACACTCGTCTTTAGTACTGGTACTAGGATCTATGCTATGTACCCCGACTCTATGTTTAAGTGACTACACTACTCATAGAGCCGTTATGCTGTCGAACTAATATCACTTATGTATGCTCTTACGAGCAAAATTTTCATGTATCAAATGTGGATAATATTAGTAAAATTTTTTATATGTTTTACTATGACGTTATAATCTGCTATGTGTTACGAATCCATGATTGTATGCTAAATTGTAGAAGTAATTAAGTTTGTGCCGCGCACCTAGTTTATAGGATCACAACCTCACAAAAACCATATACACTCAACATCTTTCCGTTCTATGACAGAAAGATGCCTCCACGACCCGCTTGCGGAAACCCTGGACCAACCCCACCCAAAGTCGACTCAGCTGCATTCCAGGCAGCTGTATCTGCTGTGGTCACCGCAACAATGGCACAAATTCACCAAGGGAACAATGGAGGAGTCAACGGACAAGGGGCCGGAAGTTCAAACAACGGGATGAATCAAGGACCCACCAAAACATGTTCCTACAAAGACTTCACAAACTCCAAACCACGAACCTTTAACGGCACTGGATGAATGATCACCCTGAAACGATGGATCGAGAAGGTGGAATCGGTGTTCGAGATATGTGATTTCCCTAAAGAGATGAAGGTGAAGTTTTCCGCATGCACTTTCGCTGACCAAGCGCTCACTTGGTGGAACAGACACGTGGAAGCCATGACACTCCCCGTAGCCAATTCTAGACCATGGGCAGAAATGAAAGAAATGCTGATGGCTAAATACTGCCCTCATGGTGAAATTCAGAAAAGGGAGCAAGAGTTGTGGAACCTCACTGTCCGGAATGCTGACATAGACGCCTACATATCAAGGTTTAGCGAATTGTCTCTGTTATGTCCAGGCATGATCACCTCAGAAGGAAAGAAGATCGAGCGATTCATCTGGGGACTAACCTCCCCGATCCAAGGAAATGTGATAGCTGCAAATCCTGAAACTTTCGACAGTGCCAAGAGATTGGCCAAGAAGCTGTATGACCACAACAACAAGAAGGGTGAGAAGCCAGTAGAGACGAAAGTTAAGAAGGAAAATGATAGCAGGAAAGGGAAGAACAACAAGAGGAGGGGACGTCAAGGCTCCGAAACTTCCAAGAAGCAGCACGCAGTTTCAGTTAATGCTCCAACCACGCAAGTTCCATCCACACCACATGCTCCAGCCTCAGCTACTCCAAGTGCTCCTAGACCTTATTCCGGTAATCTTCCCAAGCGCAACAAGTGCAATCTCCATCACAATGGAGAATGCAGGGAGATGCAGTGCACCAGTTGCAATCGGAAGGGGCACACGGCAAGGTACTGCAGGACTTACCCTCCTCAGAATTAACAACAGGGAAGCAACAACAACAATAAATGCAATAACAACATCACCAACACTGGCGGTAACAATGCAGGACCTAGCCACACCTGCTATGGATGTGGAAGGACTGGGCATTTCCGTCGAAATTTCCCTAACAACAACAATCTTTGAAATGGAGGAACAGGAAGGGTGCTGACCATGGGTCAGGGGGAGGCGATTCAGGATCCTGCTGTTGTTACCGGTACATTTCCCCTAAACCACACTTATGCATGCATCCTATTTGACACCAGAGCAGAGCGAAGCTTTGTGAGCAATAAGTTTAAACATTTATTAAAACAACGACCCCAGAAGCTCAATGAAACCTTTATGGTGGAAATGGCTAATGGGAAATCCAAATCCACTGGGGAAATCTACATTTGATGTACCCTAACCCTGAACCAACACGTCTTTCGAGTAGACTTAATGCCTGTTTCCATTAGGAGTTTCGATGTGATTATCGGCATGGACTGGTAAAGCCC